TGCATGGAAAGCCTTCTTAAAATGAAAAATAAAAAAAATTGCAACTTTAGAAAGAAACAAAAGCATCTGTAGCTCTAAAAAGCAGATTGTCCTATCTAGTACACATTTCTCCATAATGGGCACATCAAAGAAACACTACTGCATAGTGTGTGCTGCTAAAATACATTCTGAATTATTCAGTACTTTAAAACTGAATAAATTCACTCACTTCTTCAAGTTATAAGGCAGGTGTTTTTGTTTCCCAATTAATAGTCAGCAAGTCCACACATTGCTAACGTCCATACTGAAAATACAATTATACTGTAAACCTAGTTTGCTATAATCTACAATGGCCCTTTGTACCAGATTATTTCAATACAAATAGGTTTGGAAAATTGGTTTTAAATGACTAATCTGTTTTATCTTACATCCCAGCTGCAAAATTTACTAACATCACAAATGCTGGTTGAATGAATGTTGAAAGATTTATTTGACTTCAAGTCGCAAATCACCAGCATGATTTTTCTCATTAATACTAAAGGGAATTACAGTTTGGTACACCCATAACAATATGCCTTACCATCAATATATACAGAAAAGTCATTCCACATGTTGCAGTTGCACTTTGTGTGTTTCAGAAACAAAATATAGGATGTCAAGATAGACACAGAAACAACAAGGTCAGCTCAAGCCATTGTGCTGCCTGAGGTCGAGCCGCTTTGGGTCCCTTTGTTGGGAGAAATGTGGCATATAAATAAAAATAATAATAATGATAATAAACACCAAATGACAACCATGAAAGCCAGCCAAGCAAAAGCAGGAATTGGTTGACATATTTTTCTCGTGGAGTAGCCAAACTCATGAGAAACCATCGAGACATGATCAGTAACAGATAACTTCATACGCCCAAAGCCACCTGAGTTATTTTGGCCTATGGGGCAGAAAATCTCAAAAGTGCCTCCATCATCCCTGATAATAATAAAAGCACAATCATAACAAAATTCAGGCTCAAACGGTTTGCTGCTATTTCCCAATACCCCAAATCTCCCATCTGAGCCACTTAGCTCATCTTACACAGAAGTAGGGCTGACCTGGATGAGGCAGCTTAATTTTAGAAACTGAAATCATCAGGGGTAGAAGGTGGCCGGAAACCCATTCCAGAATTACATCTTTCCACTCAATTGATGCCTTAGTGTCTGTGTCCTGCTCTAACCGTCGGCAGCAAGAAAGCCTTCACATGGAAGCCACACCTATGCTTCAAACAACCAGAACATACAAAAACAGCAGAGAATAGGGGCTTCGCTGTGGCCCTCTGCCTAGTTCATGCTCTGACTGAATGCTTGAGCCTCCATTATAAAGGTTCTTCTCCATTAGCCAAGCTCAATAAGGAATATTTTGCTGTTCACATGCATACCCAAAGGCTGAAGTGCAGAAACCAAAGCACAGGAAGGAACAGATATAGATGGGTTCACCCCCCCCACCGCCTGCCCGAAAGTAACATGGCCAATCAGGAATCACTCAAGGGAGACTATGCAACAGAGTGGCAGCCCACAACAACTGATAGCCCCAGAGCCAGTTTGGGAAACTTGGTGAAGGAGTAAGTCCACAAAAGTTTATGTTTTGTTTTGTTTTATCAAAACTAATGCTGGGCTGAATGTTTTCAAATGAAAGCATAAACAACCAGAGGAGATGAACTTTGATTCACAAAATACGACTCCTCCTTTGGAGCGGGATTCATCAGGTGTACTTTCAGAGGGCCACTGAAAATGCATGCAGAAAGC